AGAAAGGAGCAGAAGTTTTCTATGCCATGAATCAATGTAAGAACAGGGGGAGAGAAAGAAAATGATACTAAAAACTAATATAATTATTACTTATAAAGTGATATAATTGTTAATACCAACAATAGAGAAGGAATAAGTGTACAAGAAACAAAAGGTACCATCTTTCCAGAAAAGGTTTACAAGGTACATTTGGACACTGGAGCCTTATTTACACATTGGTCCTCTTTTTATCTTTCTGATCAAGTCTTTCTTCCAATCCCTTTTCCATTTGTCTTTCTTCCCCTTTAGTTACCAAGGTTTGAATGTCCATCATAGCTCTAAACTGCCATGGGTTACATCTGATGGGCAGGGAGCAGGGTAGAGGAGACAAAAGGAAGAAAGATCTGACAGTGGAGTAAAAAAAATATCAGACTGTAATTAAAGCCATGGGTTATATGTGATGTATTGGTGTTTTTAAATCCTTTTTTAAAGAAAAAACAAAAGTTTTTGTTATTAATACCAAACCAGTTCATTGACAGTAAGAAGATAAGCTGTTATAACAAATTCACACAAAAATACAGTGTCTGTAAAAAAAAAAGTTTCTTTCTCTGTCATCTAATACTGCAGAGGTAGGTGGGCAGTCCAAGATCAGTTGGCTCTGTCCAAGGTCACAAGTTTCTTTTATCTTGTTACTTTATTCCTGGGATGTGTTCCTTTATTCCATGATGTGAAAACTGCTCAGACCATTAATTTCAGCTCATAGAAAGGACAATTGAGAGAAGTGGGAGACAAGTAACTTCCTTTGAATAATGTGACCAGGAAGTTTAATGTGTCCATTCTGTTCATATCTCTTTGGTTAGAATCGAGTCACATGATCATACTCAACTGTAATGAAGGTTGGAAATTCTATATTTTTTAATCTAAGTATCCTTGTGCCCTTCCAAATTTGTGGCGGGAGTGGGGTTTATTACTGAAAGGAAGAATAAAGTAGAAGAGTACTTATTAGGAACAATTAGAAAAAGCAGGCTAAGACAGTCACAAAGGTTTTTTGATAATCTTGTGGAAGCTTACATGTCCTATATTAAAATAAAATGTATATTTTATTGTCACCTGAAATTCTGGTCATTTCAATTACTTTTATATTTATTGACTATGATATAGTTGAATGTAAGTTTCAACTTTAAATGAACTTAATTATGACTATGGGGTTTGTCTTGTTTCAGCCTTATTAAAACAGTTTTAAGATTTTTCTACCTATACACACTTTAGATTTGCTATTCATTCTTACAGTTACCATGAGGCTCTCCTTATCTTTACTCACATGCATTCTAAAGCTTGCATTTACTTTCTAATACTTTTCGGTTTTTTTGTTATCTAATATTGATTTGAACATAGCATGGCAAAGGATAAGTAAACATTTTGATATCTGGAAAAAGCCCACCAACTTAAATAATGGTCTGAACTCAGGTTAGTGTAAATCTCTTTGCATCATTTTTAAACTAACTGGAGGCCCCTAGAAACCTGGGCTGACTCTTGGACCACCTTTGGTCTTTTTTATTCTATAACTGGAAACCTGTTTTAATTTCATGGGTTACCATGCAATATGGAGTCTTGTATAGTTATTTTTCCATATAGATGCTCAATAAGTATTGGATGAATAATTGAATTGGGTCAGTTGGAGCTCATCACAAATTAATAGTCCTTTAGAACAAAGGTAACCTGAATCAGTGTTAGGCCATCCTTCCTAGACAAAAAAAAATTGCTGTTTTTATTTGTTTAATGATGTGCATAGTAGCCTGTGTAAACTAAGTAAATATAGAAATGAATTATAAAAATTTCATACATTGTAATAAAAATAATTATTTTTCCTTTAAACAGCCTAAAAGATGAGAAGCAATTAATACAGTGCCTGAAATAACAGAATGTCAATAAATAGCATTCAGAGTTAATTACCTTTTATGTTGGTCATAGGACAAAGAAAACAGTTTTTCATCAATATATAACAAAACAACCTATAGCTTTCTGAAAGTCATTATTTATTGTAATGGGGAACAAATTCACTCTTACAATGTAGAAAGTCCAATTTGGAAACAAGAAAAGCTGGCATGCTCTCTTTACACAAACTTAGCATATGAAAATATCCAATAATTATAGAACATCTCCCCAGATTTTAGTCTACTTGTGAATACCACAGAAAACTCAGCAAGCTTTTAGGGAAACTTTAGATCTGTAGGAGTTCAAAAGACCTAAATGGAAAATATTTTTTTTATCCAATCATTTGTTCAGCATATATCCAGGGGTAATAGATCGGGATATTCAGGAACCCCTTTCCCCCAACGGTACACCAGAATGTGATAAAAGCAGCATATAGCACCTGTCCCTGACTGATTGATATAAAAAAATCTTTTCCTAATTTTTTGGCAATGCTATACTTGTTTTACCATTTCAAAAAAAAAAAGAATTCTGGTCTTCAAATTTTTTTCAACCTGCTTCTCCTAAGTCATTTGTTATTAGATTAATCAACTCTAAGTATTCTCTTTTTCTTTAATCCCAAACTTTGTTTAGACTTCAACTGATCATAATAATTTTATTTTTTATTGTTGTTCGAGTACAGTTGTCTTCATCTGCACCCCATCTGAGCCCCTTACCACATCCATCCCTGCCTCTTACCTTCAAACCTACCCCATTTGGCTTTCTTTGTCCATGTGTCTTTTATACATGTTCCTTGATGGACCCTGCCCTGTTTCCCCCCAATTATCCCTCTCCCCCACCCCTTCTGGTTATTGTCAGTTTGTTCTTTAGAAGCCATAATTATGATAATTTTTAAAAGCTGTATGATGTTACTTTTTTTGGCACATTGAGAACATCACTATTTAATTTTCTGGATTATTTTACTTCAATGGAATTTACTTATTTTAAATTCCTTTTCTATTTTACCTAAAATTGACTGATGTATCCCAACAGGTTCCAGATATTGGATGCAAATTTTGGCATCTCAAAATGCCTCCTAAACATTAGAAAACTCTGGCAGTGGGAAACTTGTTTACTACATTTTCATTTTATGATAACTGAGGAGTTAATCCCCTTTAAAATAGTTTTCTTATATTTATACTCAACAACATAAAATTACATCTATTTGTTTGTAAGGCACTTTGAAATTCCAGGCAGTAAGAGCAGTTTTAATTGTTTTCAATTAAAATGGAGTTTCTAAACATATACTCTTAGAATTAAATTTTTAATGTAAATTTTCCTATAAGAATGTAAATGAGCTGGCATAACTTTAATTCGTCTACCTGACAAAAGTGAGAGTGATCAGTTTTCTTAGTTCACATGTATGATGAAACGTTAATGTACTTATGTTGAGTGGTGAATACAATGGAGTTTGTTACTTATTCTTTTTAACAATTTGGACTATTTTTGTACATAGGATTGTTTCCCCAAATAAGACAAAATAAGTAACATCTTTGCCCTAAATGTTTTGATTTTTTTCTGGGAAATTAGAGAGCTGATTTATATATTGGTGAAATAGAAAAATTGCTCGTTTTGTTAAGTTAGATTCTGGTGGCTGGTGGGTGACAAGGTTGTATATTACCATAGATGAAAGAAGTGACTAAGGGTGATTTAATGTTCAATTAATGGTTACAGAACAAGCAATGAATCGAGTATGATTTAAGCAGAATGCTTTATGTGTAAAAATTTATTTAATGATAATGAATTGTCTGCCTAGGATAGGTATGAATTTTCCTATGTAGAAATGACTTCCCCTACCAAAATATATCTTGCCACCTTGGTTTTAGTGATTGCCCTTTTAACAGTCTGTTTCTGCAAGTACATATTTGTCATATGCCTAATTTATATTTTGCAAACAGCACTTTAAGTAGGATTCCAATAATAAGAACTAAAGAAACTTGAGGTTTTCTTAATGGTTTAGATGCTGCTTTTGAAAATGTTAGGTGAAACTAACGTTGGTCCTAAGCATGTATTTTTTTAAGGCTTACTAATTATAATGGTATTTTTTTCCAAATTCACTTTTAACAAGACGCTCTGATAGATGGCTCCAAGAGCACTCAGCAAGCCAACTCGTGTTGAGCATGAGGGGATAGGGTCCAACACTGGGGCTCTGTTAGCGGTGGGGACTTCAAGAGGGGAACTAGCGGAGAGACTGCAGTGACACTGCCCTCCCTGCTCCCTGGTGACGGGTCTGAAAGCACGTGGCTACGTCATGGAAAGCCAGGCTTTTCAATGCAAACTTCAACTCCTCCTCCTCCTCCCTCTAATGCCTGTAACTCACATCTGAGGCTGGGCGAGGAATCCGGATCGGAGATTTTCCCCACGCTCACTGTCGTTGGAAACTGGGAGTGAGAGGAAGAAGGAAGGGGATCTGTGGCGCTCTCTACCCACTACCAGCCTGGCCAGGGAGAGGAGGCACCTAGATTTGCATCTTTTCTCCGTGGTGATTAAGAACTGCAGGTTCAGTCCAATCCCACTGGGCACTGGCTATTGATTATTAAAAAAATAGACACTGGGAGAAGGGAGGCTCTGTCTTCGGCTGTCAGACTAGATCTCGGAGGTGGTATTGGTGTGTGAGTGTGTGTGCTGGCGGTTTCTTTCTTTTTTTCCTTTTTTCTTTCTTTCTTTTTTTCTCCCCCCCCACCTTCTCTCCTAGGGGCTACACAATGGCAGTCTTCTCTCACTGAGATGAATCCTGCTTCGTCTTCTGCAGACCCACCCATCCTCATAGCGATCAAGTAAAAGGCTATGGTTTTCTCTTTGGGGATCTTTTGTGCATTACTGTTCTCCCTGATTAGTTCTGGTCTCAGTCGGGATTGCTTTGCTTTTTTGTTTGGCTTCATGCTGAAAAAGGTTTTTCCCCCCAACCCTTTGGTAATTATCCAGTGGTGATCAAGAAGGATAAATCATTCACCCTGGCCGAAAAAAAACAATCACTGAGAAGTCTCAAAGAAATATACCACGTGAGAGGAAAAAACTGGGAGAAGATTTGGAATTTTATCATTTTTCCTATGGTAAAACCGGTGCCCCTCTTCAGGAGAACTGATTTCAAATTATTATTATGCAACCACAAGGATCTCTTCTTTCTCAGGGTGTCTAAGCTGCTGGATTGCTTTTCGCCCAAATCAATGTGGTTTCTTTGGAACATTTTCAGCAAAGGAACGCATATGCTGCAGTGTCTTTGTGGCAAGAGTCTTAAGAAAAACAAGAACCCAACTGGTAAGCAAAATATGCATCGTGTTATCTTTTTTCCTCATAATAACCTGTGTGTTGCTCATTGAGCTAGATCTGCAGTTCTGCTATGCAGGAAGGCGGGGGGAACAGAAACGGAATCAGCACAGTGTTGCATATAGAGGTGTTGCATGGATAAACAAGTAACAGCTGGATCGGCGTCTGTGAGCCAGAAAACCAGTATTAGCGTCTCTTGGCTGTGACACAATCCATCACTAGGAGGGAGGAGGAAAGTTTTTTTTTTAAAAATGTACTTGGTTGCTGATGTTCGGTGGAGTATTGAAGGGCTATGACTTAAGGTTTTGACTGAGGCAGATGAAGCTTCGGTAGTTGCCGGAGAAAAAGAATCCCGAGCTCGCCTTCAGCTGCAGGTTGGGAGGACAGAGCTCGGTGTCGAGAACCTGTTCTAGACTTTCTGATTAGCTTGCACAATATTTGCCACCCCATTACCTCTTCCCAAAGTAAAAGATGCCCCCTCCCTCGCGGCCCCCGCTCCTCCGTCAGCCCCCGCCTCTCTCCCCAGTATGCTCCGGGTGCCGGAATATTAACTCATTCCGGGGTCTGCCTCCGAGACGCCCTGCTACTGAGACTACTTGAGCAGCAGGGCTTATATACCTGGAGGGAACCCCAGACTGAGAAGACGAACTCGCCCCCCCCACCCCGCTCCCCATATATGTAATTAAAATCCCCCTTTAAAAAGCAGTATCAAAGCCCCGCGTCTGGGTACCACGGGTGGATCAGCCCGGCCCTGAGTCCCTGTTTCAGCCTCCTGGTGATTATGCACCCCCATTCTAAAGGGCTCCAACCAGGAAACTTGCAGTACGTTACATAAGAAATGCAAATGCAGGCGATTCCGGGAGTTGGATACCGAGGTTCACTTTCTGGTATTTCAGTGCCCACAGAGCTCTGAGAGAGCAGTCCAGGGAGGCCAGGCCGGAGGGCTGCGTGGTGGTGGAGGCGCGAGTCAGGGAGGGGTGCGCGCTGGCATCAGGAGTGTGTGGCGCTACCCGGCTTGGTTCAAGATGGGGAGGAAATAGAAGCCGGGCGTTTGTGTGTGGGGAGGCATTGGCGGGGGGTGCTGGTGGGGTGGGGGCTGGTCCCTCCTGCAGTGGCAGCACAGGCCCTGGAGCGTCCTAATGCTGGCACTGCGGTGTAGTAGATCGTGGCTCAACACAGCCTCCCTGACCTCCCTCCAACCGGGTGCGGGTGCCGCGCTGGCCTCCGGAGCCCCAGCCGCTAGGCAGCAAGTGGCTGCCGTCTCCCTGTCTCCGGAACCTTGCAAATGCAGTGTAGCTGGGGTGGCGCGCTCCAAGGGGCTACGCCCGTGGCTGCGGGCTGCGAGAGAAGGAGGAGATGTGGGTAGGCGGGGATGAAGGAGGCAGGTGTGGAAGCTGAGCCTCGTGAGCCGCCCCAACTGCCGCAGAGGAGAAACAGCGAGTTGTTAGATGGTCCGGCCCAAAAGGGCAAATGCTCCCGTACCGGCGGGGGAAGCCTGGGCAGATGCCCCAAGCTGGGAAGTTTGGGTGGCTGTTGAGATTCTGGGATTAGCTTCTGGCTACCAGCGAGTGCCGTGCTGCAGTGGGCTCTGTGACTCTGTCCTGCTCCTGGAATTCAGATCCCCGTGCTCCAGTTCTACCCTGTTTCTCTCCCGACCCCTTTGTTCCTGCCTCTTTTTATTCCTCCCTGCCTTGTCCTTTTACCCCTTCTCTTTCAACTCCTTAGCATTTAGCAACTCTGAAATGACACGGTCATCCTGAATATTACCCAAGGAGAAAGCAGCGTTGTCCACATTTCCATCCGCATTTACAATTCATTTATGAGGTGTACCCCAACCCTTGCTGAATCCTCGATCATTCCTAGATTTGCAACATTATTTCACAAGTTCACGTGAACACCCTTTTTGCAAGACTTGTCAAAGTGGGACAAGGCTGTAGCAGGGCGGAGGGGGGTTACTCCACACAGTAAAAACAGCTGTTTTTAAAGTCTTCTTTTTGTCCTCTGAAAAGATTTAACCCCCATCTGAGAAAGGAATACTGTAAAAACATTTTTTAAAAGACCCAGCCTTTTGTCTAGGGCCATAGAAGTCAGTCTCTCCATAGCACTAGAGAAGGAGAAATAATTCAGCACAGAATAGTAAGTTTCCTTGCTGGCCTTTAATTTTTTAAAACAGTTTTACCAGAAAAACTAATTTCTCCCAATACAAGATGCAAAGTCTTTTTTTTACACCCCCACCTCAACCCGTTTCATCTTTCTTGAATAAAGTAGGTATTTAGTTTTTCCAAGGCAGTTTGGAAGGTGTCAAAAATGACATTATTTTTACAGCAATTTATTTTGCAGCTTGTGAACGCTAACGTTCTTGGATGTGAATTGATGGATTAACTCAAAGTGTGCTAACAACACCACCACTGTTATAACAGCATAGTTTAGTCTTAGATTGATAAAGTTTAGCTTTTTGACCTGGGAGTTGGAGCATTTTATAATTATTTTAATAATGGGACATTAAAATGTCACATTATCAATCTCACTTTCTAGAAGTTTTTGCTTTTCAAGCTGTAATAGAACTCATGCCTAGTCATTCCCTTTCAGTGTTATAATTGGCAAATTCCATCCTCTTTTTGCTATTAACATTAAACCTAAAATCATTTGCACATTTTTGGTCCCAAGATAAGAGTACAACTAAGAAGTTAATTGGGTAATTAAAATAAAACAAAGACTAAAATTCTTTTGATTGTTAAAACCAAAAAGAACAGATTGACTACTACCTATTGTGTTATTTTAAATCTAAAATGAAGACAACTGATTTCAAACTAAAAGCTTGGCAGATTATCACAAAATGGAAGTACTAAAATAATGAATATGGTGCAAAGACTTCTTATTAATTTTCTTCCCAATTTTTGCAAGTTATAAAATAATATACTGATTATTCTTAATTCTTTAAATTGTCAGCAAGTATAGGTGGTTTGGTTAAGGGTTACTGTGAGGAATTCCAGAGCACTGTCATGTAATCAGGATGGTGTGAAAATAAGCAGCTAATAGAGCCACGATCTTAAGGGCAGAGTTATTCATTTACCAAAGTTAGTCATTGGTATTAAAAGAAGAGGCATTAATGAAATAGGTTTTCTGAAGTTGTTTGTATGTAAATCACAAAGAATATATTTGCACAGTATTGCTTTAATATCTTGATAAAAATGAACAAAATCTCACAATACTACTATTATCAGAGAACACACACACACAATTTAATGTCCTACTTTCTCCTACTTTCCTAGCAGAGGGATAGCTATATATTTAGAATAAATGTTATCTGCTTCAATTTTCACTATATGAGACATGCAAGGGGACTGTATTTTAGGCAAATCATTAAATCATGAATACTAAGTCCAGGCACTTACTTTGCTCAAAGGAGGGCTTTGTAGGTTCCTTTAACCCAGTAATAATAGTTTGGAGTGGTCAGTGTGTATCACAGGCCAGTGTGAAAAATAATCTGGGTCATTGACTTTGAGCAACATTTGCTAAAGAAAGAAATGTGGTTGCAAAAAAGAGAGTCCACAATAAAGATAAACAATTAGGTTGTGTAATGGATATCTCTTCAGACATATAATATACAACAAGCAAAGGAAGCCACAGACCCTCAAATACATACATGGGAACCACATACATGAACCACATACATGAGACTCCCAAACTTCCATGGAATGATAGGCTTTTGGAAAGCACAGCTTTTAAGATAAATAGTAATGAAAGTTCATTTTAATTTTAATGAGTACCAATATTAGTGGCAAGGAGGATAGGAAGCAGATGCCCTAGACCTACTTTTGCAGAGCATATTTAGAAAATCCCACACACTTGAGACTGAGTGTGTCCTTTTCTGAATGTAGCTTCCCTCTCTTCCATGTAACTTTGAGATGAAACAAGTAGGGCGTGGTATAGTTCATTGGCACTTTGTATTTTTCTACTTATTTTGGTGTCTTTCACTCTGTTTTTGCCTTTCACTAAACTGTTTTAGGTGCTAAAACACCTGGTATGTCAATGTAACTCACTTAAATGTAGTTTATTCTTTTAAAGCTACTTCCTTTACTTCTAGGGCTGTCATGCTGTTTAGATATGAGGAAATAGGAAAAGAGGGAAGAAAAAAGAGTATACAATTTTTACTCCTTCTCTTCCTCAGCCTGCAACTCATCCTGGGTTCCTGTAGAGCTAGGGGAGGCACAAATGGGCCACAAATCTGAATTTCTAAACACTGAACATATATCAGTGTTTAGATGGACAGATTATATTCAAACTGCATGACTGAAACACCATACAAGTGTAAGGTTCTTTTCTTTTTCACATTCTTGTCTTTAGAGTGGGATTTCATGTAGTATGAGTTGGGTTTGACCTTCATCCAGGCAGCTTTAGTTACTTAAGTTGCAAATGAGTTTGCAGAGCAATGCCAATCCATGAACAGAAGGATGACATTTTAAATAGACTTACAAGTATTGACTTGTTGCAAGAGTGTATTTTTCTTATTTGAAATTTATATCCAAGTTAACAAGTGTGAAATCCAATGTGTGATAACTTAAACTTGGTTTTACCGATGAAGATGACTTTAGCTGTATCCATTTCCAGCCTGTTATCAGACAGCACCTGTAACTGACATTTTTTTCAAATGATGCATTGCTTTCAGAAGGTGCTAGAGCTAATTCTATAATATATTTCACTTTCTCCACAGGGAATCATTCCTTTATAAATATTCAAATCCAGCCTTCCATGTTTTAGCAGCACAAACATTGGGGACTTTTATGAAGTGTTGTTATACATATGGTAGCAAGAACAACAACCAAAGTTTTCACTCCTTTGCACATTTTGGTGTCATAAAATTCATTAAACTGAGTCATAAGCTTTCTATAAATACTTTGTAACTGTCTCAAAATGGAAGCATATACTCAAAATAGTTTCTTAAGCCTTGAGGGTTTCAGTTGGGATGTTTAAATGGTATACTTGAAACA